TGTAACATAGGGTTTGCAGATCAGACACATGCGGATAAAAGTTAATCCGGAAGATTTATTCGGACAGGAGTAAACAGGGTTAACACCAGACCCGGTCAATAACCAGAACAAGCAGACAAAATTCAGGGGCATAGGCGAAAGTGAAGTCGAAAAAACAGCCAGAAAAAGCACATATACCAAAACAACAAAGCCAAGACAGAAGCGAGAATTGAAAACAGAAAAAACAAGCAAGGTCAAACACGGAGTAGCAATCAGAAAAACAAACGGCTTGGTATGCACAGACTAAGTAAGGGCAATACTTCACAAAGACAAGTTTCAAACAGACCGGTATATATACAGAGTAAAACAGGTGATGATGATTAGTATTCAGGTGACTGTGATCTGTTGGGTGGTTTGTGATTGGCTGGAAGAGTCTCATGACTGACTGAAGGATTCCCGGGAAGTGGAGTCCTTAGTGGTCTGAGAGTCCGAATGAGAACCAGGAAGCGTGACACCAATGCTCCTGTGATTCAGGCCATCTCATTTCTTTTTATCCAGAAGCATCTGACTAGTTTGTGCAGTGTTACAGGGCCTTTGTTGTCATATTTTGCAATTCACGAAGGTGCCACACAATTTCAAAGGGAGTCAGACAGTCCTCTCTAGCACCCACACCCGTTTTTGCCATTGTCATGTTGAAATAAGCATGGACATCCATAAGAAATTTGGCATCTAAAAGGCAGCATATGTTGCTCCAAAACGTGTTCAGAGTTATTGGTGCAAGTTACCCACTAATACCCCCATAGGCCCTGGATTTTGAACTTGACTCGGTCATACAGGTTTCTCCTCTACAATCTGGTGGATCCGACCTTTCCTCTCTTGGGAGGCCACCCAGGTGCTTGTTCAGTATCTTGTCATCTCAAGGCTTAACTATTGCAGCTTACACCTGGCGTGTCTTCCTACGCAGGACATCAGATTTAAAACCCTGATGCTTGCCTATGAAGCCAAAACGGACCAGCCCCTCTCTTCCTGATGGCAATGGTCAAAACTCAGCCCATGCCTCAAACCTTTTGAGCTTCAAGTATGGCTTGGCTTGACCTGCCATCCTTTGAACATGGAAGACAAGCATCAAGACTCTTCTCTGTCTAGGAGCCCAGGTGGTGGAACGAGTCCCTCACAGACCCATCTCTTTGTGAAGTACTTAATTTAAGACTAATCTAGCTTTTTTGGATGCATCTGGTAATTTCTGGCAGTTTCTTAGCTCAAGAGTACTTTGGGCCTATTTTTACTAGATAGTGTATAGTCTCTGAGTGGTCAACAATGCACTTTTGTATGTCACTCTGGATAAGAGTGTGTGCTAATTGCTATATATGTATATGTTTATGCTGTTAACAATCTGGATGCACCTTTATGTCATTGGCGTGGAGAATACCCCATGCATTATTTCCACAAACAATCTAAAAGGTTGACTTGTCAAACCAAAATACATGTTTCAGTCCATGTCAGATGGGCTTGAGCCCAGAGAAGTGAACTATTTTGGAATTAGGCTTGTATTTTATTATTCTAGCTTATACACAACTTTGTCCACCAAGTTTGAAAAGGAAATCTGAAAAACTTAATTTGAGCTAAAACAGTAATGATTAAGACATTATAGTGCTCCTGACCACCTTTTAGTGCTTTTCTTTACACTGAGGGTTTTAAATCTGATGGCAGGCCTCTACACTAAGCCAGGAAAGGTAACGCAGCAGTGGAGTGGCATGAGTGGAAGATTGAAGACGAGCTGTACTTCTGCATTCTGGATTAGTTGAAGGGCCTGAAGGCCTGCATAGGAAGACCAGCCAGAAGTGAGTTGCAGTAGTCAAGCCTTAAGATTACAAGAGCCTGAACAAGTGCCTTGGTGGCCTTTCAAGAGAGAAAATCCTCTGGATATTGTAGGGGAAAAACCTGCATAACTGAGTAAAGTTCAAAATCCAGGGTCTGTCATGTAAATGGGGGGGCATTAGTGAGGAGCAACATATCGCTGCTGTTGGAAGAAAACCTCGTATCTCCATTTTTGACGTTTTTCAGTTTTTGACGTAATTTGAAAATATCTATTACCCTTTACATTGTTTGTAAATTTCATGATGAATGGACTAAAAGAACTAACCCAAAATGACTTGGAAAAAATTCTGGTTCCATTGACTTGCATTAAAAGTAAAGTATGTTTTTTCCTTCTCCTGTAAAGTTACTATTTTAGAGAGACAAGGTTTTCTTCCGACAACAGCAATATGTTGCTTTTTGGATGCCAACTTTCTCAGGGATGTCCTGCTTGTTTCAACATGGCAAAAAACATTCTGCATGTGTAGCAACAGCATGGCTGTGTAGTCAGACAGTGTGGGTGCTGGAGTGGTCTGTCTGTCTCCTTTTGAAATCGTGTGGTGCTTAAAGTGCAAAATACGACAACAAGGGCCCTGTATAGTTGTGCAGCTTAAGATTTGTAAAACTGAAGAATGGCAAACAATTCCACCTTCAAAACTGGATCAGT